AAATGGAGAGAGGGATGGGGAGAGAGAGAGAGAGAGATAAATGGAGAAAGGGATGGGGAGAGAGTGAGATGGAGAAGGAGGGAGATGTCTTTTGCTCTCTAGCTGTTTTCTCTCTCTCTCTCTTGGAAACACAATGTGACTGTGTCACTTCTGTGGCCAGGCCCCAGGTGCCCGCGATGTTGGAGACTCCAGCCTGAATGTGCGATTTGCCGACGATGACGATTATCAGGAATTGGCCGGTTACTCAGAGGCAGTGGGCGAGCAGCGAGGGGCAAGGGCATCCCTGTTTCCCAACTTCGGAAATCCCCTGGACCGGATCTTCTCTGAGAAGCGGCTGATCCAAACTGTCCACCAGGGTCCTCGGTGAGGCACTGTCCCTTACCCTTTCCTCACCTCCGCTCCATCAGAACCTTGGGGTGTCCCTGCCCAAGAGGGGTTCCTCAGCCTGATCCCGAGAATCGCCAGCACAGAAACAGGCCATTTGGCCCATCTGTGCCATTCCACTGGAGCGTTCACCTCATCATCTCACCATCTCCTTCTATCCCTCTCTCCCTCCTGTGTTTACACAGCTTCAGCCCCCTATTTCCCTTTCAAACTACTCTCATTCCCCCCTTGACCACTCTCAGTTGGAGTGAGCTCCCCCAATCTCCGGGGAAAGGCGTTACTCCTGAAATCTGCATTGGATTTATTCGGGACTGCCTTGCATTGATGCCAGGAATTCCACAGAGTTTAGTTGCAGAGGTGTACAGCACAGAAAGAGGCCTTTCAGCCCACTGAGCCCGTGCTAGTCAGAAACAACCATTTCACTCTTCCAATCCCCAATTTCCCAGCACTTGACCCACAGCCTTGGCATTGCAAGGGCTCATGTAAATCCTTCTTCAGTGAAATGAGGGTTTCTGCTTCTACCATCCGTACAGAATTCCACCCCGCGGGTGAAAAAAATGTCCTCACCTCCCCCCTAAACCCCCTAGCCCTCACCTTAAATCTCTACCTCCTCCAGTCATAGAGCTGTACAGCAGGAAACAGACCCTTCGGCCCAGCTCGTGCGTGCCAACCAGATATCCTAAATTAATCTCGTCCCATTTGCCAGTGTTTGGTCCATATCCCTCTAAACCCTTCCTATTCATGTACCCACCCAGATGCCTTTTAAATGTTATTATTGTACCAGCCTTCACCACTTCCTCTGGCAGCTCGTTCCATACACGCACCACCCTCTGTGTGAAAAAGTTGCTCCTTATGTCCCTTTTAAATCTTTCCCCTCTCACCTTAAACCTATGCCCCTCTAGTTTTGGACTCCCCTACCCTGGGGGAAAGACTTTTGTTATTCACCCTATCAATGCCCCTCGTGATTTTATAAACCTCTGTAAGGTCCCCCCTCAGCCTCTGACGCTCCAGGAAAAATAACCCCAGGCTACTCAGCCTCTCCCTGTAGCTCAAACCCTCCAACTCCGGCAATATCCTTGTAAATCTTTTCTGAACCCTTTCAAGTTTCACAACATCTTTCCTGTAGCAGGGAGACCAGAATTGTACGCAGTATCCCAAAAGTGGCCTCACCAATACCCTGTACAGTCACAACATGACCCTCCCAACTCCTATACTCAATGCACTGACCCATAAAGGCAAGTGTACCAAACAACTTCTTCACCACCCTGTCTACCTGTGACTCCACTTTCAAGGTGGTCATTGAACCCCCCCCATCAAGGGGGAAGCATTTCTTCCTCTCCACCCTATTGATGCCCTTCATAATTTTATACTCTCAGTCTCCTCTGCTCCAGGGTAAACAACCCCAGGCTGTTCAGTCTCTGGAATGGGATGGGAATAGTTTACAGAGGACATCGGGCTGGGAGATCGGCCTGGGTTAGCAGAATCCGGAGGGGCCGAAGGGATCGATTGAAGGAGGGAGGTAGTCTTGGCGGTGGATTGGACTCACAGTCGGAAATTCGAGGCGGTGGGTGGGGGACTGGAGTTGGTGCTGGGCTGGCGGATTGGAATCAGACGGCCTGCACCACATTATTGACCCTCTGTGTGTTTCTGCAGGAGGAGAATATCGACCCCGCTGGATCAGATTGGAGGCCCATCCTTACCCCATAGGAGGGTCTGGTTGGTGAGTTACACCCTCCCACCCACACTCCACCCTGAGCCCTCCCTATACCCTCTTTCCCAGTTACCCAGTTCCTGAGCCACTCAATCTAGAATCCTCTCCACACCCATCCTGTCAAGACTCCTCAAGATCTTGTACGTTTACATAGAACATAGAACATAGAACATTACAGCGCAGTACAGGCCCTTCGGCCCTCGATGTTGCGCCGACCTGTGAAACCAATCTGAAGCCCATCTAACCTAAACTATTCCATTATCATCCATATGTTTATCCAATGACCATTTAAATGCCCTTAAAGTTGGCGAGTCTACTATTTTTGCAGGCAGGGCATTCCACGCCCTTCCTACTCTCTGAGTAAAGAACCTACCTCTGACATCTGTCCTATATCTATCATCTTTGGTCCAGTTGTCTCTGACTCTCCCAAACTCCAGCAGATACAAGCTCACCTTGTCCAGCCTTTGTTTATAAGGACAGTTCCTCTCTCTCTCCTTGCCCCCCCATTCCAGGCATCAGTCAGGTAAACCTTTTCTGAACTGGAATGCACTGCCAGAGGTGCTGGTGGAGGTCGGTACTACAGCAACAGTTGAGAAACATCTTGACAGATATTTGAGATAACAAGGTGTAGAGCTGGATGAACACAGCAGGCCAAGCAGCATCAGAGGAGCAGAAAAGCTGACGTTTCGGGCCTAGACCCTTCTTCAGAAAATTAGGCATGGTTTAAAGGGATATGGACCAAATGGGGGCGAAAGGTTTTGAGTTTAGAAAGGCATCGTGTGTTGGTGCAGTGTTGATGGGCTGAATGGCCTCTTCCTGTGCTGTACAGTCCTTTCATGAGGGGCATGGATAAGGTGAATAGCCAAGGTCTTTTGCCTAGGGTGGGTGAGTTCAAAACTAGGGGGCGTATTTTTTAAGGTGTGAGGAGAAAACCTTAAAAAGATTTTAACACAGAATGGTTCATGAACTTCCTGAGGAAGTGGTGGATGCAGATACAGTTGCAACGTTTAAAAGACATTCAGATAGAAATATGAGTAGGAAAGGTTTGGAGGGATATGGGACAGGAGCAGGAGGTGGGACTAGTTTGGTTTGGGATTATGGTCGGCACGGACTGGATGGACCGAAGGGTCTGTTTCCGTGCTGTATGACCTGGACTCTGAGGACCAGTCCTGGGGCAATGGGATCTCGCAGTTTTTCAAATGTCCCGCATTTCTCCAGCAGCTTCGCTAACTCCGAAGGAGCCACGCATGGGGCAGATCCCACCTACCCCCTCACCTCACAATGGTCCCGGACACTCTCGGGGGTGAAGGGGTGTCAGCCAAGGTAGTGGGAGAGCCATTGTTCCCCTCAGAGCAGAGAGGGCTAAGGGGAGAAATTGAATTGAGGCGTTCAAAATCATTCAAAAAGAGACTGCACCCAGCGACAGGAGGGTCAGACACTGGAGGGACACAGAGTAAGGAGAATCGACCAGTGGGGGGGTGGAATTTTCAGATGATGGGATCTGAAAGGGAGCTGATTCTAACAGAATTTTCCAAAGGACTTCAGATAAATTCTCAACGGGGAATAATTTGTAGGATTTAGGGGGAAAAAGATTGGGTGGGTGGTGGGTGGGGGCGATGGATGAGTGGTGGACTAATCAGAGAGATGTTTCTAAAAGGCACAATGGTGTTGACTGGACTGTAAGGTCTCTCCAGCCAATTGCAGTGGCTAGGTGAGCACTGATGGCCAGAGGAAGTGACACATGCGAACGAAGTTGCAACGTTTAAAAGACATTTGGATAGGTACATGAATAGGAAAGGTTTGGAGGGGTTTGGGCCAGGAGCAGGCAGGTGGGGACTAGTTTAGTTTGAGAACATGGTCGGCATGGGCTGGTTGGAGGAAAGGGTCTGTTTCCAAGCTGTATGACTCTATGCCTATTGACTGGATGTTCTAATGAGATTTTGGGAGGGTTCAGATCTTTAAAATGCCACAAATGTTTGGGGGGACTTGAGTTTGAATCCCGCCATGGCAGATGGTAGAATTTGAATTCAATAAATAACTGGAATTAAGAGTCTAATGATGGCGATGAATCCATTGTCAATTGTCGGGAAAATCCCATCTGGTTCACTAATGTCCTTTAGGGAAGGAAACTGCCATCCTTACCTGGTCTGGCCTACATGAGACTCCAGACCCACAGCAATGTGGTTGACTCTTAACTGCCCTCTGGGCAATTAGGGATGGGCAATAAAGGCTGCCTGGTCAGCGATGCCCTCATCCCATGAACGAATAAAGAAAATAGTCAAGGTCGCTGATGGAATTATGGTTTTGCTATCGAAAGGGCTGCAGTATAAGGATGTTAGAGTATACACTGCAGTTATACAAAACCCCAATTAGACCCCAGTTTACTGGGATCAGATCTGGGTGGATCTTTAGGAAGGATGTTTTGGCCCTGGAGGGAGTTCAAAACAGGTTTACAGGGATAATACCTGGACTTCAGGAATGATTATAGAAATAATAAGGTGTAGAGCTGGATGAACACAGCAGGCCAAGCAGCATCAGAGGAGCAGGAAGGCTGACGTTTCGGGCCTAGACCCTTCTTCAGAAATGGGGGAGGGGAAGGGGGTTCTGAAATAAATAGGGAGAGAGGGGGAGGCGGATAGAAGATGGATAGAGGAGAAGATAGGTGGAGCGGAGACAGACAGGTCAAAGAGGCGGGGATGGAGCCAGTAAAGGTGAGTGTAGGTGGGGAGTTAGCGAGGGGATAGGTCAGTCCAGGGAGGACGGACAGGTCAAGGGGGCAGGATGAGGCTACTAGGTAGGAGGAGGGTAGGGGTTGAGGTGGGAGGAGGGGATAGGTGGGAGGAAGGACAGGTTAGGGAGGCGGGGACGAGCTGGGCTGGTTTTGGGATGCGGTAGGGGGAGGGGAGATTTTAAAGCTTGTGAAGTCCACATTGATACCATTGGGCTGCAGGGTTCCCAATCAAAATATGAGGTGCTGTTCCTGCAACCTTCAGGGGGCATCGTTGTGGCACTGCAGGAGGCCCAGGATGGACATGTCGTCTGAGGAATGGGAGGGGGAGTTGAAATGGTTCGCGACTGGGAGGTGCAGTTGTTTAGTGCGAACCGAGCATAGGTATTCCGCAAAGCGGTCCCCAAGCCTCCGCTTGGTTTCCCTGATGTAGAGGAGGCCACAACGGGTACAGCGGATACAGTATACCACATTAGCGGATGTGCAGGTGAACATTTGTTTGATGTGGAAGGTTTTCTTGGGGCCTGGGATGGGGGCGAGGGGGGATGTGTAGGGGCAGGAGGAGGTGCTACACCTGCCCCTACACATGCCCTCTCACCCCCATCCCATTATTAACCTCATCCCGGCCCCTTGACCTGTCCGTCCTCCCTGGACTGACCTATCTCCTCCCTAACTCCCCACCTACACTCACCTTTACTGGCTCCATCCCCACCTCTTTGACCTGTCTGTCTCCTCTCCACCTATCTTCTCCTTTATCCATCTTCTATCTGCCTCCCCCTCTCTCCCTATTTATTTCAGAACCCCCTTCCCCTCCCCCATTTCTGAAGAACGGTCTAGGCCTGAAATGTAGGCTTTCCTGCTCCTCTGATGCTGCTTGGCCTGCTGTGTTCATCCAGCTCTACACCTTGTTATCTCAGATTCTCCAGCATCTGCAGTTCCTACTATCTTTATCCATGATTATAGAAATTATGCCTTTATTCTCTAGAATGTAAAAGGTTAAGGGGTTACCTAATCAAGGTCTTCAAGATATTAGAGTCACAGAATCATAGAGCTGTACAGCATGGAAACAGACCCTTCGGTCCAACTCGTCCATTCTGACCACATTTCCTAAACAGATCTAGTCCCATTTGCCAACATTTGGTCCATATCCCTCTAAACCCTTCCTATTCATATACCCATCCTGATGCCTTTTAAATATTGTAATTGTACCAGCCTCCACCACTTCCTCTGGCAGCTCATTCCATACACACACCACCCTCTGCGTGAAAAAGTTGCCGCTCAGGTCCCTTTTAAGTCTTTCCCTTCTTCTTAAACCTATGCCCTCTAGTTTTGGACTCCCCTACCCTGGGGGAAAAGACCTTGGCTGTTCATCCTATCAATGCCCCTCATGACTTTATAAACCTATGTAAGGTCACCCCTCAGCCTCCGATGCTCCAGGGAAAATAGCCCCAGCCTATTCAGCCTCTCTCTGTAGCTCAAACTCTCCAACCCCGGCAACGTCCTTGTAAATCTTTTCTAAACCCTTTCAAGTTTCACAACATCTTTCCTGTAGCAGGGAGACCAGCATTGCACACGATTCCAAAAGTGGCCCTAACCAATGTCCTGTACAGCCGCAACATGACCTCCCAACTCTTAAACTCAATGCACTGACTACCAAACACCTTCTTCACTATCCTGTCAACCTGCGACTCTACTTTCAAGGAACTGTGAACCTACACTCCAAGGTTTCTTTGTTCAGCAACACTCCCTAGGATGTTCCCATTAAGTGTATTAGTCCTGCCCTGATTTGCCTTTCCAAAATGCAGTGCCTTACATTTATCTAAATTAAACTCTATCTGCCACTCCTCGGCCCATTGGCCCATCTGATCAAGATCCTGTTGTACTCTGAGGTAACCTACTTCACTGTCCACTACACCTCCAGCTTTGGTGTCATCTGCAAACTTACTAACCATACCTCCTATGTTCACATCCAAACCATTTATATAACCAGGGAAAGACCAGGGGAGATAAAGATAAACCATTTCCATTGGATAGCGGTTCTAGAGGTAGGGAGCATGGTCCGAGAATAAAGGCCAGATCATTGAGGGGAGATGTTAGGAGGCACTTCCATACACAAAGGTTTGGAACTCTCTTCCTCAAACGGTCATCGATGCTAATTCAATTGTTCAATTTAAACCTGAGACAGATTTTATTTTTAAGAAGGGCTTCAAGGGACATGGGCCCAGGGCAGGCAATATTGAGTTAAGTCACACATCAGCCATGATCCGATTGAATGGTGGAGGAGGCCCGAGGGGCTGAATGGCCTTAATCCTGCTCCTCCCTTTCTAACCATTTTCGTTCAGGGAACCCTCATTAACGCAGGAATTCTCTCTCAATCAGGATTATCCGGAGGCCGAGTGGAATTTGGATGACGACGTACCGACCGGACACCGGACTGATCAGGAATAAAATGTCAATCAACAGTCAGCGGGGATGGATCCCGAGTTTATAAGAAATCTCCTCAGCGTCACAAATGCCGGGCACTTTTTAAACAATTATCCTTGCTTTTCCGCTCGTATTTAATTCCCAATGATTTGACTCCGAAGAGCGTGGTGTGAGGGTTTTCCATGGAAGAATTTGAGATTCCCTCAGTAGCAGAGCTGATGTCAGATTGTCTGTTATCTTGCTGTAAGTGTCACTGAAAAGTATTTGTTCTTCTCCTGCAAATAGAAAAGCTCACCACGAAACTGCAGATGTACACGCAGCGTGCAATGAGAAAAGAATAACTTGCATTTCTGTAGCTCTTCAGCCCTTCACACTCACGGCTGGATTCTTGGAAATATCACATCCAATTTCCAAACAGCAAGCTCCCAAAACCAGTTATGTGATAAATAAGGAGGGGATGGGTTTCCAGTGATGTTGGTTGAGGGATTATTGTTGGCACAGTATATTGAGGAAGATTACCCCTTCCTCACCCACCCCCGCTCCCCGATCTAGGACATCTGTAAATAACTAGTCACCAAACTGTGCGACACTCTCTCAGCGCTGACCCTCCAACAGCGCGGTGCTCCCTCAGCACTGACCCTCCGACAGCACGGCGCTCCCTCAGCACTGACCCTCCGACAGCACGG